CCCACGTCTGAAGCCCAACTGCAATGACATTTATTTGTGTTTTTATTTATTTTTTTTCGTTTTTTTAATTAATTTGGTGGCACACCTACAAAACTTGTACATTCTTTATATATTTTTATTTTTTTGCGTTATTTTATTTAAAATGCCGCCCAACTGCTATGCTATTTATTTGTTCTTTTTTTTGTTTTTTTTTCTCATTTTTTAATCAAATTTATGAAGTATTTACATTTAATAAAAATAAATAATATTTTAAAATGTTAATAAAAATATAAGAGTGTAATATTAAATAAAAGTAAGTGGGAGACATGTGGGACCCATGAAAATGAGGTTTATGGAGTTTATGATTATTGGAGGTTTATGATTGTAGGAGTAAGGATGAGGTTTTGGATGATGTGGCGTGTTGGGAAGTGTAAAAGTGAGATTTATGGAGGTTTATAAAGTTGTATGGCTAAAGATGCTTTTATTTGAAAGAATTTGAGGAGGTCAAATCTAGCTTCTGTTACGGAAGAACAAATCGGTCATCCAGTTGGCGCACCTTAGCCACATGTTCTATTTTAGAGTAAAGTTTATTTTAAGCCAAATTTAAGTTTTATCTTCACTTTTTCATGTTACATGTTGCTCTATTTCAGATAAATTAGTATATACAAGTATACTTAATCATATATAACTATTTATTACTCTAATAATAAAAATATGTATATGTATAACAATACGAGACTACTTCATAAATTCAAACATTAGAAATACAAATTACATAATACAATTAAAAAAATTAAAAACCATTACAAACCACAATTGTAATAACATTGCATCTAATTTTCTAAATTAGAAAAATCCTTCCACAAATGATCAACCAATGCATTACGAAGAGCGATATGAGCATCGTTATCTCAAATTTACATGTATGGAACAACAAATGCTTGGAACTGAGAAGTTTCACTACCCACCGTTTAAAGATCTGTGATCGGGGACTCTATCGCAGCTTCGATCAGTGCATCAAGACCTCGTTCATCCTCGATTATCATATTATGCAAAACAATGCATGCAATCATTATGTATTTTAAGTCATTTTTACTCCAAAATCGGGCAGGATTAGACACAATAGCAAATCGACTTTGGAGTTCGCCAGATTCATGCTCCACATCGTTTTCTGCATGTTTTTTTGTTTCAATGCAAAATATTTTTTTTTACTACGTGGGTGACGAATAGTTTAGACAAGAATTGACCAATTTGGATATATATTATCTGAAAAATAATACCCCAAGTTGTACTCTTTCTCTTTGAAAACATAATGTGTTGGAGGGGTAATTCCAAGAGTAATGTCAAAAAATAAAAGGGACCTCTCTAACACATTAATATCATTTTTGGATCTCGACATACCAAAGTATGCATTTTATATCCAAAGAGCATAATCGATTACAATTTCTAGAATAATAGTTGAAAATTTACTACGTCATGTATATGCACCTGCCCAAGCCGTTGGACAATTTTTTCAATGTCAATGCATACAATCAAGACTACCTAACATTCCTGAAAAGTCATGTTGCTTACCGATATAAAAGAGTCTTGGAGTGTCATTTGCGTTGGGAGAACGTAAATATTGCTCTCCGAATATCTCTACAATAGCATGACAAAATTTCTTCACGCAGTCAATTGCGGTGGACTCCCCAATATTTATATATTCATTTGTCGCATCTGCTGGTAACATATTCTATTATCCGAAGCGCACTAGTCACCTTTTGATGGGTAGACAATCCGAGTCTACCAACTGCATCTCTTTGCTGCAAAAAACAATCATATTGACTTTTAAATGCATTTTCTGTACGAAAAAATAAATTTTTACACACCCGAAAACGACTACGAAACATGACTTCATTAAATTTTGGGTTTTCAGAAAAATAGCTTTTAAAAAGACGATTTACAGCTGCTTCTCAATTGCAACCAACTTGTTGAGTTCTGAAAAATTTTGTACAAGAATTTTATTGTTGTAAACTTTTTGTACTATTAAATGTTGCTCTGTATCATAACTATCTAGTAGTTGTTCAAGTTCATTACCAGATGAACTTGAAGAAGAAAATGCATAAGAAGTCCCAATGTGATTGAAATTCATTTTTTCTGGAAAAGTGCAAGAGTTGACTAATGAGAGTATAGTGTGAAAAAACTTTGTATAAAGAATAGTAAAGAAATCTACAACTCTTAATCTCATCCTTAACATCCTGACTTTCATGCCAAAATTCAATATTGGTCCTATAATTTGGTCAAAGTTCATTTTTTCACACCGTCATTGACCACTTTAAAATTGAGTCCAATAATTTGACAATTTAATCAATTTGGTCCTTTTTTATTTGCAACCTGAATAAAAACGTGTCATGACGTATTTAAATCTGACATGACGTGATTGTGGCTTATGTGACAAGATTAGAAAATGGTGAGTTTAAAATTGAGTCCACTTTCATTTTTTCACCCTGTAATTGACCACTTTCAAATTGAGTCCAATAATTTGATAGTTTAATCAATTTTGGTCCTTTTTTATTTGCAACATGAATAAAAACATGACATGACGTTTTTAAATCTGACATGACGTGATTGTGACTTATGTGACAAGATTAGAAAATGCTGAGTTTAAAATCAAATTATCCACATATGCCCTAGGCCTTAGTTGCAATTATATAAAACTAATTAAATTACAAAGTAGCCCATAAAACTTATTAAATTTTCAAAAATGACTCCTGCAATCCCTAAGCTTATTTTGTCTTCACCCATTCGCCTCTGCCGACCGCTACCGTCGATCGCCGTCGACCACCTTGAAGCTCTTCTCATCCTTGTTCGCCTCCTGAAGTTTTTGGTGAAAACTAAGCTAACAACTAGTAACCTAGCACCATCAGAGAACTAACCTAGCATCATCA